AATAGACGAATAAATGAATTTTTTTTTCCTTAAATTACATGTTTATCGCTTTTTTTCCTTAACTATGTGTGTCTATTTTTTAAATTTTATCAACACATTTACCAAAAATTTCATATTATAAAATAGATTCATTCTATAATAAGGTTTCAAAGTTTTCAATTAATATCAAAGAATATTAAATAAAGAAAAATGAAGAAAATCTTCTCTTCCTAATAAATTTTAACATTTTTACTTTCGTGATTAAAAATAATTATAATAAAATATAATGGAAAATGAGGTCGTTTAAACTTTTAATTATTATTGTTATTACTATTATTATATAATATTCAGTTTTTAATCAAAAAACCATATTTTTTTTGTTTTTCCATTAACAATTTCCATTTTTCGAATTTACATATTTTTATTCATTCATTCATCTATTCTAATTATATTTATGCATACCTACATATATACTTATTCCCAAACAGGACTTTGGAAGTGATAACCAACATTCATGAATGATTTTAATAGTCTTGTTACATAATATATTTCATATAATATTTTATGTTGTGTAAAATATAAATAAATATACATACATACAAACCTAAACATATAGATAAACCATAATTTTCCTTTTAAATATCTCACAATTAAATATCCTTATACATATATTTGCATTCTTTTCAATCGCCTTAAAAGAAGCAACTATTTCCATTAGCGTTGAACTATTTAAAAAACTAAAAAAAAAAGTAGGAGGAAAAAATAAACAAAATATGCAAATAGCTCTACACTGACGACTGAACCTTAAAAACAAAAAACTTTTGATCAAAAATGAAAAAATCTATAAATAAATTCAACACTATATAACTGTGTCACCGAGAGTTTATTTAGAAAAAAGAAATTAAATACCTACAACAAACAACTGCAATGGAAGCCCACGAATTACAAAAGGAAAAAAGAAAAACTTCTATAAATTACAATGTCCTTTCTTTCCGTTTCGGTAGACTACAAATAAAAAAATCAACAAAAAATGGAATTCCTTTCTTGTACATACATACATATATACATATGTACATATATAAGATTTATAATATAGGTTTTTTTTTCTATTAAGTAGTGTCACCACAAAATCCTTTTTTACTTCCTTATTAGCATATTTTCTACTATTGTCTTCGTCCTTCTAAATATTTTCTACTGAAATATCAAATAGACTTGCAAAAAAGAATTATATAAAAACTATTTATATTCAAATAAATGTTAAATGAAAAAAGTTAAAGCTTAAAAGAATTTCATAATTTATTAAAGAAAATTTCAATTTAAATTTAAAAAAAAAAACATACATACATACCAATAACTCCTGTCTTACATAATTTCCAACTGCATATATTTTTTTATAGGTACCTACCTAGGTCTAACAATATTTTTTTTTTGTGTAAAGTTATGTGAGGTAATGAATACTTTTCACGTCTCTTTGAATAATTTTCAGGAATTTAGCCATAATGAATAGTTTTCAGTAATTTTTTATGAACTGAAAATCAGTAGTTTTTATGAATAAAATTTTTACATTACTTAAGTTTTCACTAAGCATGCATGTATAGATATGTATGTATGCATATATTATGTATATATAAATATATTTCTGAGATTATAAAGGTTTCGGCTTTTAAGTTATAAGATTATTATCTATGAGTAATATTCTGTTAAATTTCTGATTAAAATTATTAACTTGTTATGCCTATGTTTTTTTTAATTTTCTGTCGATTGAGAATCTCCGGCGATCTACCTACATATATATACATATATATATATATATATACTTATGGATGCATATATGTATGGTCACAGAAAATTTTATTAAGAGATGAAGCAGGCTTGTTATATTTGAGTCGTGATTATAACTCGGTCATCCTTAAAATCCATATTTTATCTTCCTAATAAATGATAATTTGATTCCTATGTCAGTATCAGTTGTCACCAATTTTTAATTATTCTTTTTTTAAAAACAAGAAAGTTTTGCGATTTCAACAGAATTTCTTTTAGTAGAACTTTTTCCGAAACAATTACATATAATGTACAATTGATAAAATTAAAAGTTACAAAAATCAATTTAACTTTTAAAATTAAAATGATAAAGATTATAGGAAATAAAATGAAAATTTTCGATGAGTGAGAAATTTTTACCCAAATATTATTCAGTTAATATTTTTTTTAAAATTTCGGTTTCAAATGCATCAACCAGTTCAGTTTCCATAGAATACCTTTCGTGGACTTTTGCTAGAATTCTATTTATATAATCTTCTTGAAGACATTCAGGTAAAACGTTAGTAATTTCATATTCAGCAATTTCAAGTCCATATCTTCTTCCAATTTCATCAAAACTTAATAAAACATCATTCTCAATTTCTTCTTCTGTTGCAACCATCCAAGAAAACACAATGTGTTTCATATGATCAAATTCTAAATACGTTTTGTATTTTGGGCAATATTTCCAATTTAAAAATAGTACCACATTAAGCGCAACCAAGAATTCCTAATTTTTAAATATGTATAAGTGTATGTATATATGTAAATCGAATAGATAGAAACCAGATATACATATGTATGTAAGTAACAAAACCATTTTACTCACATTATCTTCATTATCCTTGAGTAATTCATTATAGATATGGCTTAATTCTTGTTGAGTTAAATCTGTACCAGAACTTTCAACAAAATCGTCCCAAAAACTTACCGTTGTTGCGTCCGCAATTGTTTCTTCACGATCGGCAGTATAAGCAATCATTTTATCAATTAACGACTGAATATTTGTAAACTTAGATGAATTCATTATATTTCAATGAAATTATTATTTTCTTTAGAAAATTATTTTACTTAAAAAATAAAAATTTCTCAATTTCAATGTCGAGTTAAAGAATTTTGATCTAGTAGTTTATTAATTAACTATCAAATACACAATTCACATTAAACCTCAACAGTAAATATATTTTTGACAGTGAATGATATGACACCAAACATTTGCCGTGTTAAATTATACGTTTGTAAGCTGCGTTCACACTGCTTAATTAAACTATATATAAATAATAGACTGCTAGATTAATAGACAGGCAGTAGAGTTTATCTTTCCTTTTCCCTCGATGGGATTGCCTATTTACGCATTTTAAATTAAATATGTTAATTTACTTAGATTCTTTGCGAATTCTTCTTCCACACCACTATCACATGTGCATTCATGTCATTTAATATTCTATCAAATTGTTACACTTACAATTTAAAACTGTCAAATTTTATCTTTGCATTTCAAGATTATGTTTGACTCGACGTAATTCACGACTGACAATATCACCATATGCCGTGAAATGACATAATTAAGTAAGATTAACTGTTATTTTTTCTCCATTATTTACAGGTTTAAGCAGATTTCGCCATGAGCTAATGTATTTTGTATAGAATGAACCTTCCTCTTAATTTAAGGGATTTATATATCGCTCTCAAAAAGTTGAATTAAATCTAACTTAAGTGGGGAGTTGTTTTTTTCTGAACCTCAGCATTATTATTATTAGTTTATACACTGTACTACTAAAATTACGAATTATTTTTCTTACCAACGGAGCTTGTGAGCAAGAGGAACAAAACACAATTCAACCGTTGATACAAAAGTCGACTTATATAGAAACAGATATTACGAATATGTAAATAGATTAAATATTAAAACTAACAAAATTGTCCATAAATTTTAAATTCAATTCAAATAAAACGAATCAGAAATGGAATCGGTCGTGCATTGTCGTGTTGTAACTCATTGTGAATAATATTTGACGAAACAAATTGAGAATGATATAAAATTTTTCGGGGGATGGCAACAATGCAAATGCAAAACCCAGTCCACAAAGGCTACAAGGAAATACACGTAAAATGTCGAAAAATATTTTACCCGTTATTCATTAAAGTTTGTTCGTTTTCAAAAGTGCACCATTTTTTTTTTTGCTTTTTTAAAAATTTTGTAATAATGTAAGTATTAAAGACACCTTATAAGTTTTGAATAATTTATTATTATATTTATGTTTATATTACTATACAAACTTAATTATTTAAAATGCTGAAAAACTGTAAATTCAAACTTAAAGAACAATAAATTTTTTATAGATGATTTCTCTCCTCTTTCCAAGTACCTACGTAATTTGTTTGACAACATAGCATTTTCTTCGAAGCACGAAAATTTAAAGAAAATCATTTGAATAATACATGTTTATATTGAAATTAATCAGGAAAATTTATTTTATTAATTTAAAGATTAATTTTCGACCAAACTGACTATCAAAAATATTAGCTAATTTTATCAAAAATTCAATTTCACTTCAGATAGACCACTTTGGTTTTAAAAACACTTTGCTGAATACTTCTCGCCCGAAGGTTGATAAATTTTTATATTTGCTAAGAAATAATATAATCAATATGCAGAAAAATATCTTTAATTTATTTAAAATGCAATATGTACATACTTTGTATCTTTTTTTAAACTTTTCTTGTCTTTTTTAGTTTTATGTTGATTTGTGATTGTGACTTACTATTCTACAATTGGACAATTCATTTTTTTTCCTTAATATTATAGCACAGTTAATTTCATAAAACAAGGAGAAATTAAAAGCATTTTTAATAAAGTTTTTAAAATATCTAAAAAAGAAACAATTTTAGAAATACAAGACAAATAAATTTCGTACATAGATACATATTTGATTCTTCTTAAAATAATTTTTAAATCAAGACCTAGTAAATATTTCAAATTCGAAATTTCAATAAAATAATTTAATAAAAAGTTAAAAATATTCAACACAATAAAATTATTGCTTAAAATTTAAAGATAATAATACAATAGTAATATTTTCAAAAGCAAAACATTATGAATTTTGCATTAATGCAATAATATATAGATTATTAAATATTCTAATCTTAAATATTCATCATTTCACTTTTAACTAAATTTAAAATGTTAAGTACAAATTATAAATTACTTTTTATTGCGCATAGAAAATTGAGAAGACCTTTAAAATAGGCAACTTAAATTCTGAAACTTACGAGAAAATAAGAAAACAAATTTTAGAAACACATAATTAATATTAAAAATTATATCACGGTATTTCACAACCGATATGTTTTATAACTTTATTTGCTATTGTGCAACCATCAATAATGCATTCAACTAAATCTTTTTTCGCTATAAATGAATTTAAAAAACCTGCAACGAATGCATCACCAGCTCCAGTTGTATCTTTAATTTCATCTTGATTACTACTAAATGGTATTTCGTATTCCATTTTATAAAATCCAACATTATCATAATTTGTATATAGTTCAACGCTATCAGCACCATTTGTTACAACAAAAATTTTCTTATATCGTGAACAATATAAATGTGTTAGTTCTAATAGTGTATCGAATTTTAATAATGTAGCCAAAGCCATATATTCAGCTTTATTTCCAAATATTAATGTTGAGCTTTCTATCATAGTTTTAACCATTTCGAAGTTTTCCTTAACTATATATGGAGCATTTAAATTAAAGGCTAATAAGCTTTCTGCTTCAGATATATATTCTTTAATAATAAATTCACAAACTGAATATCTATGTGGCAAGAAAAATCCTTCAATATAAAATATTTGTGGATCTAGATAGTCTTTTCGAAAAGCGTCTTGATCATAAGCTTTTAAATAGTCAACAGTGAAATCATTTGAAGCACCAACATTTGCGAATAAACCTGTTTGATCCTTGTGAACAAAACAAATGCATTGTCCAGTAGATTTTGTTGGGATGATTTCAAGGCTAAAAAAAATTTTTTATAAGAAATTTAATTTCAACATTATAATGTATGATAATTTTATGTTAATTCATTAACATATTATTTTAAAAGTGATTCTAATAAAATACAATAACAAGTACATCATTTAATTTACTTTGCATTAATTCCTTTCTTTTTTAAAATTTGTTTCAAGGTTTTTCCGTTTTCATCATCACCAATAGCTCCAAAAAACATACAGCTAGCGTCACCTGTCGATTAATAGAAGTAACTAATAAATGTTTGACATGTTAAATCGATTTTGTTTTATCTGTGACATTTAAATATTGCACATATGTTCTTGTTTACAAATCGAAATTGAATTTTTATTAAAAATTTTTCAATCAATAGTAGTTGCAATATTTGTACTATTTTTAAATTTTTAAAAATAGAATATTCACATTATCGTTTATCTATAATTTTAATATTAATTTTATACGTACCAATTTTTCGTAATATTCTAATTGTGTTTAATGCACTTCCACCGGGGTGTCCATTTTTTAAATTAAATTTTTGTGACATTCGGTTCAAAAGTTCACTGGAAACTTCTCCTTTCTTACCTAGTGTTAATCCAAAAGGATCAAGTGCATCTTGACATTTCACTTTAAGTGTAAAATCCAATAATACATTTCCGAAAGCAATTATCCTCGGCCGACTAAAAATTAAGTTACGGGAAAAATACATTGGCACTAGTAAGTTTTTATATACATATTTTCTTTTTGTTAAAATTTTCAAAAAATCATATTTTCACTTTGCAAAAATTCTATACATACTATTCATGTTCTTCTGGAAGTTCCTTTGGGCTAAATAATTTAGAAAAACTTGAATAAATATCTGTGAAAAAGTTCATTTCTAGAAATTTTTATAAAATGATGAAAAGAAAGGTGAAAGTGACAATTGTAATGTCTAAACTTAAACGTCATTTATTTGAAGTTTATTATTTAGTACTTTAGTAGTGCAGGAGTTTGCAATAAAATATTTGAAGTTTGTTTAACGTTCAAAAATTAAATTGAGGAAGAGGTTTCAAATATTTACCAAGGTTGAACAAATTAATTTAAAATATCTATACTCAAATATTTTTATAAAGGTAATTTTACTGGATCTGATAGTTATGCATAATAGGTACTTAATACTAAGGAATTCAATTAACAATTACATCTAATTTAATTATACATATTGACCGAGTACTTGGGAACATAAAATTATGAATTTTAAAGCTCTACGTTGTTGAATTTCATGAAATCTAATAAAATGGATTTCGTTACCCTGCACTCAGTCTCTAACAGCAAAAACTAAAGACAATATTTGTAAAAACGCATTTTGGACGCTGTTAACATACGTATCTACATACAAACAATTGTGCATACATCTTATATATGTATTTGGTGAGGATCATTACGCGCAATCATTATTTTATAAGGAATGAGTTCTTCGGGATGAGTAAACTGAGTTTGGATTCCATGTTTAGCAAATTTTTCCTTTACGGTGAAGTTTTTAAGTTACGGCCACTCATTATATCATTTGAACTTTGTGGTACTTATGTTAAGTATTAAAAGGTGTTAAAAAATGAAAGAATTTAGCGGATTTTATTAGCTTTAGATTGTAGATAGCAGTTAGAAGCTTTTTTATATACTTACTCAAAATTTTGTTTTTTTCAGTCCTTTCAAAAGCAAAGGCAGAATATTAATTATTACGCATACTTATACATGAACGTCAATAACAAAAATAAAATTGGAATTGAGGTTTGATGGAGCTGATCAAAAATATAAAAATGTTACTTTACATAAAAAAAAACTAAAGGGTGACTTTCCTGTACACATAATGTGCATAGATATTTGTCATTAAGAAAATACAATGTTTATAAGAACAAGATATTAATCAGAATTTCCTATGCGATAATAAGTATAGCTTAATATTTTGCACCTAGTCAACAAACTAAATAATACAAAGCAGTCTTCATAAATTATAAGTTTTCAACAAGTAAATGATAGGTATATCCGCTGTTTACATTTTTTTTTGCAGTAGTGACATTTTAATTAGCGAAATGCTTTTCCAAAAAAAAAAAAAAAAAAAAAAAAACAAAATCTTGAGATTGTAAAATTAAATCTTTACTAATAGTGATAGTCTTATCTATTACAAATATATAGAATCTTTACCTACAATTATTATGAAATATCTTGATGATTGTGCAGTAAAATATATTCACACGCACACTATATAGATAATAATCTATTTTTTGTATATTAAAAGCAGTTATAAGAAAAATAAGGATGATAGGACGTAAGGGATGTTAAGATTTTAAAAATATTATGATTCATCATAGCTACTCACATGAAACATCTCTACATCTATAGTATTCTTATCAGCTTAATATACAAGATTTATTATATTATGTTTTAGTATTATAGATTAAATACTATAATACTAAAACATAATCATCATATTATAATAAAAGCCAAAAAATAAATGTATCTATAGTATGTAATTTTGAATAGTATAGGTACTTGTAAAATAAAAGCCAAACAAAATCATACGACATTGATGGCTCATTTTGTTTATATTTTTTAATTTACCTACTATAAGAATTTTATACATATGTATAGGTATAGTTATACATTTCATAGCTTTCCAAAATATTATTTTACTCGTAAAAAGCCTCAAACTTTTTGTTATTGAATTTCATTCATTTTTTCCGGGAAAATGTAAAAAAAATTTGTTCAAAAACTAAGCATGAATCATCGAATTTTAGAATTAAATAAAAAATAATACCATCTAACTAAAGAAAGTTTAGAGTTCAAATATAAATATGAATATGTATATGTAAGTAGGCTCTCGCAATATTTCAGTAGATACAAACTATAGATATCTTAATAACTTACAATATTTGTAAAAATATTTGAATCGTTAAAAGTCTGAGATTTTAAAAATTCATAGTAAATGTAAAGCGAGAAAATTTCTCAAATTTTATTATGAAAAATCGAAGTGATTTGGAGGGCGCGCGAAACTTTATAATAAATATTAATAATAATAATATAAAATACACACATGCATAATTTAATGTAGTTGAAGATGCTTTGGGGATATTTTCTCAAAAAATCTTACATCTCTATTTACTACTATTCTCTAGAAAACTAAAAGCTATTTATTTTTTTTTTAAAAAGCTTTAGAATTTCAAAAGAAGAAAACAAGTAAAAAATTTTACATGTATATTTTATATATATACTTATTTACATACGTATATTCCATTGAAAACAGAAGAAAAAACAAAAAATCTCTAATATAACTTGTATTTTCCAACTACGTCATAGTCTAAACAGCATTCAACAGGTATTTCAGATTTTTTTCACAAAATATTAAGTATGCAGAGAATAGATATATGTAATTATATCTGTATGAATATGGTATTATAGGTATAGCGTGTAAATTTATACTGTTGAAAGGTATTCACAGAGAAGTCGGCCTATTAATTAATGTATGATATAAAGAAACCTTGTACAGGGTTTTTAACGAACTAGTTCAATGCAATTTTGCGGATACAAACAAAATCTATTCAAAAACTGATCATAAAATTAAAATGATGTAGAAGGCACCATGTACATATATACATATGTATGTACATATTTTTAACAGGATTTGTATAAAGGGTTTATTAATTTTAAAATTTCATTAAAGAGCAAATATTGAAAATGAAGCAAAGTCTGCCTGTACATTTAAATTTCGAAATGATACACAACATCCACATTTTAAAGATATTTCTTTTTACCTACTGCAAGGAACCTAGCGACCATCAAAACCTGAAAATCAGATCAAATACCATCAGCTCACCTTTGTTATAAGCAACAGCTAAACAATAATAATAGCTCATCCTGCAACCAAAAACTAATAATATGAACTTTTAGTTTTTCATTCTAAAATTGAAATTTATTTTATTTAATATAAATTATACGTATACCATATTATTTCATTGTAGGTAATCCTGATGTTTTCATTCGATTAAAATTTCAGTAAGCAGAAATGTACTTATTTACAAAACACCATGTATATTTTATATTCATAATTTTGTAGAGCACAATTTAAGCATATTCGCTACTACTCTATATTGTACCACAAAAAAAATTTTTTTTTAGTAAATTCCAATGAAATAAAGAAGAGAGAAATAGCAATGTGATGCTAAAAATACAATAATCATTAAAATTAAAAAGTGGCACACAGAAAACCACACAAGAAAAAAAACTTTTGGAATTTCCATTTTTAAAATGCAATCCGAAAATATGATAATAAAAGCGGTTTTTTTTTTCTTTGTTGATTTTTTATCAATATTCATTGCAAACAATTTACACAAAAAAAAAGTGATAGTAAATCCGGGGATTTACAAATTTTTATTGAAGGTTTTCATTAACTTACATATTTCGTGCCTATATTATGCCATTTCCTATTGGAGTAGATTATATTACAAAATAAGTATGTAAGTACTTTTTTGTAGGTACGCTTGTTTTCTGTTGCTCGTAAAAAGAGTAAGCATAGAATTGAAAATTCCATTCCCTCTGAGTTGAATGTCCTTACATATTAGGGTTATTAAAATATTTTCATACCATTTTTATTGATAGGAATTTTTAAAGCGAAAAAATAACCTTGAAATGAATAAAATAAATAAAAAAAGAGAAGAATATTAAATTTATTTTTGGTTAATTATTTTCTATATTTAGATATAGTTTGGAGTACTTATGAACTTGTTTTTGTACACATATGTACTAGCATATGTGCATATTTGCATAAAATATTAAAATAAGAATTGAAAACTGATATTAAGTTCCTGTTTGAATATAATTTAAAAAAAAATTAATTTTGTTTTTATTCTTATGTTGATTTATCGTTTAAAATTTGAAGGGAATTTTTAGTTTATCGATTTTTAATACGTATGTATATGCAATGCGGTATCTATATACAGACACTATATTACATAATAATTATAGATATTCAAGTGAACGTATTCGAGGCTGCTATATATAAATGAAACTAAAATTTAAAATAATGGAACTTACCTGTCGTCAACTATTATTTTATTATGTGAAAATATGAGATTTTCATTGTACCCCGATTTGTTAAGTAACAGTACCAATCTATTAGTAATATCTGTTAGAGACGGACTACCTCATAGATTTATTAACTCATCGAAAGAAGTATGATCGAATCGAAATATGATTTGTGCTGAAAAACATTTATTCCACATTAATGTTAGCACATTTCTACTTAGTGTACTCAAAACTTTTTTAAAGCCTTATTCATTTTCATACGTAGAATTCTAAAATTAATGATTTAGGTTAAGAATTTCTATATAGCTTAACCTAAACGTCCTAAACTATTAATGAAGATGTTCAATAAACAAACATTATCGAAAATAATTGAGATTTTCAGTAAATTAAGCAAATTTTCAATCCAAATCTCGAAGAGCACACGTTTATTTCAAGTTCATTATCCTCAAAAATACAAAATGTGTAATTATCTTTTTTATTGGCATTGTTTTTCATTTGTTTTTTTGCAATTTCTTTAGAACTTGTTTTTTTTTTTCTGTTTTGTTTATTAACATTGCGCGGTTCTATTGGATTTCTTTCTTTTACCTTTGTACTTACATTACGTTTAAAAAATTTTTTAGCGTTCATTTTTTTAATGTTTTTCATTATTAACTTTTTGGCTGGTTTATTTACTTTTTGAAAGAGATAAAACAAAATGGTATTCTTTGTTTTAAAATTTAACAATAATTTTTTTGTTATTAATATGAAAATATATTACATTTTGACATACTTATGTGTAATAGATATATATATGTAGATATTGTATGAAAGGTGAAATTTCACCTTGAAAATATTTGAGGTTCAAATACTGATTCACAAAGTAATAAATTTTGAATGGTCATAAATTACATACTTTAATTTTTGTTTTTAATTATTTTAACGAAATCTCTCTTCAAGGCTTTTAATAATAAGCATACACAAATATAATATGTGTGTGTTTAAGCATTTACACTTTGTTTGTTTATGTTGAACTTTTTTATGAAAAATTTTACATCATAGAACTCATAAAATCTCAACAATTGAATTGTTTTTATAATCGTAGTTGCCTCTTTTTATTTTTGAAAAATACATAAATCAAAAGAATATTTTCAATATAATTTAATAAAACAAAATTCTATAGAATTTTTTATATTAAGCAAATTTAATAAATGTACAAATTTAAAAAATTTGAACTATTACTTACATATGTATGTATTTTTAATTTTTTTTAGGTTCTAATTCAAGCGGAAGTTATATGCAACAAGAAATTTACATTATCTATAGTTCCAATTTTAAATTCAACCAAAAAATTTAGTAACCAACATGAATACTAACGATTTTCAGTGCATACTTTCCCCGGTCCAATAAATAAGAACTATTCTAAAAGTGAATTTCAAGTGGAAATATTAAAACTTATTTTTGAATTTGTAAATATCCAAAGTTTTTACAGGATTTTTCAAATAATAGAAATATTTATGTACGTATGTAAGCAATTAAGTCAATTTTATAATATAATTTATAAGTTCTAGATGGCAATGAATCATCATATTACCTTTAAAATACATTCACCTTGTATTTTTGAGTCAGTATGACCTTTAAGTATTTGAATATAAATGATTCTAATTAATAGAGTCTACTGCTGATTTCCTTATTAAAATTTAACTTAGATACAAAGAAATTCTTTTAAAAAAATGACGTAAATTTTTAAGACAATATCAAAGTACAAAATTTATAAAAATGTTTAAAAAACAAGTTCAAAAACAATGAATAGATACAAGTTACATATATCAAACATTTATAGGTTTAAATTTAAAGTGAAATATGATAATTTTGTCATGTTTAAAATGTTTAAGTTTTTCTTAAACCGGCAATTCATTTCACTCATACAAGCACAAACACACAATATATTCAAAATTCTATTAAACTTCTTATTAACCGCATAAAACTACTTGTTTCTATATATTTCATTTAAACTTTATAATCACCTTATTTTGAACAAATTGAATAATATAATACAAAAAAGAAATAAAAATTAAATATTAAATTATTCAAGCAAAAGCAAGAAAAAAAAATAAATAAATTAAAACCATGATCAAAGTACAAAAAATCGATACTTGTTTCCCTCAAATCGATTCCGTTTAACATTAAATAATATAAGAAAAATTTACGTCAGACATTTCAAGTTCAACTTAAAATGTGAATCATGGAAAAACAGTTTTGAACTTCGTATTTCATACAAAATTAAAATTTAATAAAAAGTGAGTGGTGGTGATTTGTTAAAAAAAAAAAACAAAAAACTGAAATTTTAAATTTCAATGAATTTTAATTGTTGGTAAAAAAAACCACAACTATCGAAAGAAAGAAAAAAAATATCGATTTTAAACGAGTTTAGTATTAAAAAAAAAATAAATTTTTCATAGAAAATATAAACAAATTATAGGAATAAAACAAGACTTTGTAAAAAAGCATTATTTTTTTATTAGCTAAATTAAATTAATTCAAAAAATTATAATAAAAATAAATTTTCGAAATGCAGAGTGGGTACTAAAATATTTTAAACTAGTTTTGTAGAAATTTTTTGAAAGCAAAAAGACAAAATTTGAACACGCCACATTTATAAATTATAATATTATTAATCACTGCTTTAATATATTGCAATATTAAAAAAGAAATAAATTTGTTTAATTATTTTAATTGAAGAATTTTAATAATAAAGATTTTTCGCCTAAATTTTCTCACACTAAGTTCCTAGTGTTCATGTTAAATATAATATACTCAATATCGATTGTAAAATTATTCATAATGTTAATCTTTTTAATCAACACTTAGTTTTAATATATTTTTGGAAAATATCTTTCAAAATTTTTCTTCTATATTATATTTGAGACTTAATGAAGCTCAAGTAATGAAGTAAAATCTAATTTTAATCCAAAATATGCATAAACACTACTATAATTAATTTCAATATATGGAATAAAAAATTTATGCATTATTATATACAATTATGTCAGCAATTTTTCAATTTTTGAAATGTTATTTTCCATGATTTTATCGACATTTAATGAGATCAATTGTCATTTAAAGTAGAAATATTTATATATTTACATTTACATAAATTATGTCAATTGTAATAGTGACAAGATAATGTAATTATGTATGACAGTAATTATAAATTTCAATTTTTTTAGTTCTTAAAGAAATAATTAAGCAATCAAATACAATATTATAAATCTATGTTAATACATGTTACAATATTATTAATCTTGGTATGTAGTAGCAAAAACTATATTTTCTACGCTTTCTGTTAATAGTTGAATGCAATAATTTAAGTTTTCATAAACACACAGATGTTATTCTTAATAAATTTATAATTTAATATTTAATTTTTGTATAGTAAATGATTTATAATTCAAAATATTTATACATAACCGACCAAACAATCAGGCCTGAAGTTTATTAAAATGTCGGATTTTAAAACCTGAAGCAAGTTGTTAATTGCTAATAATTATTTATTTTATGTACATACATACCTTCGTAAGAATAAATGTACATTGGTGTAATTTATTTTAAGAATGAATAAATGTAAATATATTCTATGTATAAATTATGTACGCATATTGAAATTTCCATAAATTTCATATTAAAATTATGTCAATTGAATTTTTAATATTTTCGAAAAACATATTTGATTTTTTTTACATGCGTAAATGGTTTTGCATTATTTTTCTTTTTTACATATGCAAACGCAGCCAAATACGCAATCGTACTATAATTTAAACCGGTTCAACACTTACAAAAATTGAAATAACATGAAAAAATTTAAAAGAAATGGAAATTTTATTACGTTCAACTGGTAATTAAAAAGCAATTCGATTTAAAATAAAGAACGATAAAAATTAAATAGAAAAATTTATTTAAGTTGCAAATAGAAAATAAGTAGAATTAGTATCTTTTGATTATTACAATTTGTGTATGATGAATTAAATTATATTCACATCATATGTATAGTTGAACCATAGTCCCTTATGAACCAAACTTTGAACACAAGTTAGATTTTTAGGATGAAACAAATTGAAAAATTAAAGGATGAACAAATCAATACTGAATTTGCTTAAATATTTTTAAAGGCATCCTAAATTGTTAATTCATTTAAAATCATATAGATTTTTGACACGATATGAATTTAAACTTACCTTCAAGTCACGTGAATTTCTACACATTTTCCTAGTTCTGAATAAAATTATTAAAATTCTTATAATATGAATTGAGTATATGCTTTAATCATCAAATACATGAATGAATATAAGTTTTACGTTTTTTTTTTTATTATTTTCTTTTAATTTTTCGAACCGGAAGTTTGAAAATCATCAACTATAAAACTGCAAATTCGAATATTTTAACAATATATTATTAAATTGTAATTAATTGAGAAAAAACTGAGAATATTTTTGAAATGCGATATGACTTGCATAAAATAGGTTTTTTTTAACAAAAACGGAATGCTGTAACTAAATTTTTTACATTTATCCACACTCGTGGATATGAACAAGGATATTTCCATTCCAAACACAACAAAATTACAATGTATAAGTGTATAGGTACATAGTATAATATGTTATACAAGCTTACGAATAAATATCATACAATAAGATCGTGTTGTGGTTATTTGCCTCCTATTAAATGTTATGCTATGAATTTTAAATGAAATTTAATAAGTTATAAGGCCGTTTGGCGTTAAAGTTGTTTTTAAACAAAATTTTTTTTATCAATATTTTCATTAATTTCGTTTTGTCTTTTTCATGAGACGCAACCAATGACGTATTGAAAAATTTTCATAAAATTTTGTTTTTATCATTTATTTTTATTTTCATTTTAAATTAAATAGAAATACTCAAAACACGCGTAATTATATCTTGTATATACGTTTTATATTTTAATATGCCAGATATAAGTTTCTCTGCCGGTGTCTACCATTGGAACTCATTTAAATTTAAAATAGAATTATTACCATATTTTAATATTTTTTTTTTAATAGTAAAATCGTTTTATTATAAAATTGATATTGCATAAATTAATTTATTCTTTTATCTTTTTATATTGTAGTTTCAACAAAAGTTGACCAGACTGCGGTGCCTACATATTACATATTATTCAAAACAAATAATTATTTATTTCCGGAAACAAGTATTGTAAAAAGGTAAGTAATTTAAATTTTTTTGCAAATTTTTTTTGCTATTTTATTCAATATATAAATAATTTAAAGTAAGGTCCAAATATTTTTATAACTATGTATATGTATACATTCATATGTTAATTATACAATTGAGTCGTGTGTTTTGTTGTTTTTTAGAATTTACTTGTGTTTTTAATAATGCCGACAAAAATATTTTAGCAAGTACTTAAATAAGATAATAATGATTATTTAATAGTTGCCGGACTAATGGTAGAATATCAAATGAATAAATAGAGTATTCAATAATTTGCAGACTACTCTAAGAATAGGTTATTATAATATTCTAAAATTTATATGATGTGAGGAGAGCAAAAAATATAATAAGGGAGTTGTTTAGTTTGGAAGTTCGCCTGGCCTTACTCTATTCTGATGCTAATGTTAATGGATTTATATTTATTTAAGCAGATAATTTAGTGATAGTTTATTCTGAAAGCGATTTAAATATAATGCAAAACAAATTCTGACAACCAAAACCTACATATATATAATATAATTAGCCAATAAAAACTTACAATAAATGTAGCAAAGACAAAATATATGGTAACTAGTAATATTATAGTAATAAAAAATAGTACAATATATTTAACGGAGCTTTAATAAAAAATAACCTACCTATTGTTTACACAATACGGTCGGTAAAAATGAACAGTCACAACTACCGTCGACTAACTATATTGATAGTCAATTAAGCTGGAATGTACATGTAGATAAAGTATTAAAAAAATGTCGAAGAATAGCAGAAATCTCCAAAAAAACAGCAGATTATTTACCTAACAAACAAAAGTGATCAATCTATGAAATTTAATGCCTGAACTGTTCGCGATGTTCTCTATGACAATAATTAATAACAATCTTGATGTCTAGGAATCTATTTTTCGCTTATGCCGATTTCAAATGTTCTGTCAGTGTTAATGTTAGACGTATTTTGCTAGATATTTTTGTTATGTGCTCAGTGTTGTAATTTATAACAAAGAAAAATGTATAGGACATTGCTGCCATATTTATAATTTTTATATTTTGTGTACATATGTACTACAAATTTTATTTATTCTGCTATTTCTTTGTACCATCTTTACGTCATATTAGTTCGAAAAGAGAGACAAAAACAAACTGTACGTCAAACCTATTTTCTTTTTTCTGGCACAATAAAAATTTTATAATTCTTTACGTTGAAATTTTTTTTTTATTATAAAATCTTACGTACAAACGTGTATTTTGATATAAGTAAACATAAATAGTATTCAATTTATAACAGCATTAATTTTTTTGCTTTTTGAATGAGAAACGCCCTCCTTTTTCTCGCTATCAATAAATTTTTTTTTAATTACTATTATTAAATAATTTAATTGTGAATTCATTTTTAAAGAGATAAAATTTTTGCGTTTTTTTTTGTATTTTTGTTTAATATTGCAAAAAATCAATATGTAAGACTTTTAAAGAATTTTCTCAAAATTCAAGAATCGTAATCTATGTATATGCACATACATTACATTTACTCACTTGTTTGATACAAATAACCTTAAATAATTTCAAAGAAATATTGATGTACATACTCTATGCACATACATATGTACATGCATTCATACATTTCTCTACATTCTTTCTGCATGGAAGAAAAACAAAAAAAACAAATCCTCTTTTAACAAGTTGTAGCAGAATTTTTCTGAATGAGTCAGAAAAATGTGCCGGTAATTTGGCAATTTTGATTCACGTGATTCATACTAAAGAATTTTTTCCCATCTTATTGTGGTGTTGCGTTGTATAACAAGTTGTTGATAATATCTACATTTATAAAGAGGAAAATAAGAAGAGAATTTGCGATAATGGGAAAATTTTTGCTCTGGAATCTAAAATATGTGCGTTCTAAAGAAATTATAGGTATGTATATATGATGTATATATCTGATTGCGTGTACCTATGTATGTATACCTCCATGCGTGATACCTTGCGAAAATTTATTCATTATGAATATTGTGATTCATAATTATTTTTTAACTTCGTTTATATCATAAAAAACAGCGAAAAATCATTCATATAAATCTTTACTTATAAAATAGTGTTAAAAGTAGCTGTTTAAATTAGTGCTATCATTCACCAAGCTGATTTACATTTCTTTAAACTATTTCTTGTTTCTTAAGGATCTTATACATTTTTCTTGTGTTAGATGCAACATTTTTTTTTTAATATTTGTGTATTGCATGAAATTTCCTTAAATTTTTCAAAAATGTTGTTTATTTAAAAATTATTTAAATAATTATTTATTAATTTCGTTTTAATTATGATGCGAAGGAGAATTTTTTAAAAATTCAATTAATATAAATCGGAGCAACTATGATTTATAGAAAACTTGTTAAAGTTATTCAAAAGGTAGAAGTAAAACTAAGTCACCCCTTAAATACTTAAATATTTTAAACATATTCAATATTCTGTTTTATAACTTTAAAAATTGTAATATCGTTGATCAAGGTCCTAAATAAAAACGTAATAATAGGAATAATTTCTTCCTAAACAAACATAATGTAATTTTCAAAATTCAATTGTAATATCAAATCAGTATTAGCGACATACTATTTGTGATCAAAGCAAAATAAATCATGCTATTGTTTTTCCCCAAAGAACACAGAACCAAATTGCACATATGAAATTATTTTGATAATTTAGTAGTTTCAGGAATTTCCAATAAATTTAATTTTTTTTTAAATTAAATATATTATTATTAATTAAATCTTAACCTCGTCCCACATGCTGATTCATATATGTATGTACATTATATATACACATACACGCTAAGAATTCAATGGTGAATTTTATGGACTATTTGTGTGTTTACAATGTGATTTTGTATGTTTTTGTTAAAATGGTAATAAGGACAAAACACGCAAATAACACGCTTAAATTTATAAAAAAAAAATACGAAAAATCAAAAGTCAGCTTGTGCATACTTAATTAATTCATTTACCAGTTTTAAACACAATAACAAACATTTTTTTTAATATTACCCACTTTAGTAGTTTTGTTTAATTTAATTATTTTTTTTTTTAATTTTAACATTGTTAATTTACAGCTGAATTGTGTTATTTTATTAAACACGTGTTAAATATTATAGCGATTTTATAAATTTTATTCGAACGCATAACAAATTTTATTTTTATTTGTTTTAATATTTCTTATATGTAAGTATGTGAGAAACTTGTATTGATACAAGTTTTAAAATTATTGAATGAATTTTTTCAAAACTTTGAAAATATTTAAGACGCTCTATGTTATGAATTATTTATAAAAGCTTTGGAAAATCCAAAAATTCCTTGATTCAAGATTCCATTTTATTTTTTTTTTTTTTGTAAAATGCATGTAAGATATAGTTTAATATAAAAATAATAATAAAGTATATAGGCTTGAAATTACAACTAAAATAGTATAACCAATAGTGCATTCGATTGAGCATGCACGTAATAAAAATTATATGTAATATTAAATTGTAACGAGTACTTTTACATATATGTACGTAAGTACATATGTAGTTCGGGTCCGCATTAGCTTGTCATTCTAATATAAAAAAGATTTGAAAATTTTATTTTATGTTTTCATTGCTGTTATACAATAATTTTTTAATAATTTTTCAAATTATCATAATGTCCGTTTATTGAAAGTTTTAAAAATTTCTTAGAACAAATTTTGATAAAGTTTTTTTTTTTTTCGGAATAATTTATTTTATTATTAAGGTACGCCTACAACAATATTTCCCAATAAGAGAATAAAATTTTTTTTTTTTTAATTTTTATCAACACATGTTGGTAAATTTTCTCTTTCACTTTTCTTTGAACTTTGAATTTCTCTATTGAGAAATTAAGTTCAAATGTGATGTACTAGGAATATTTGTTTATTATTTCAGTTTTCAATTGTGGATTATTCAAATTTCGAAGTTGTTAATTTAAAATTTGATTATTTAATGTTACAATCTGTATTTTAATATATTTAGGCCTAATACAATATATTTTGCATATACGTATGAACTGCATTGAAAATACTATAGCAAAGAATATGTAGGTAGGTATTTGAAAATATTCTAACATACCAGTAGAATATCGGAAAGAAATTGATGTTAATTATAGGACGATATTTAGGTTTTAGGTAAGAACTAAGAACACAGATCATTTAAAATTTCTATGCGAACATACTAATCCCTTTTCTTGCTTTTTTAATTCTAAAAACGTGTAAAGAGTGTTAATACCACTCTACTTGTACTTTAATTACAATGTTTTGCATTCAAACATATGGCGAATGGAAGGAAATTTTTTAAATTATAAATCTGGAAAAAAAAACGGTTCCATGTTCTTGAACAATAACTTATTATCATATTGCATACCTATATCATAGAATATTGTGGGACATTTTACAGAATATACTTTGACTACCTTCTTCATTACTAAATTTTGTATTAAGCTATTCCAATTTGTTCTTTGCTTTTACTTTCCAAAAGGTAATGTAGATAAATAGTTCGAATTCTTACTAGGTAATTAACATTTACTGCCTTGTCGTTTCTATGACGATTATTTTTTTGCATTTCGGAATCTCAGCCTTTTCTATATTCGTCAATTACTTTTATTGTTTAAATTGATTTGAATGTTATTAATTACCTTTTTCCTGAAAGTTCGTAATTTTTGTTTATTAAATCATAAATTTGTGATTTTTTTTAATTTTCATCAATGTCCCAAAAATATAAAGTTAATTGCTAAATTCATCATTCTGTTTGAAAAGTACACGTAGTTTAATCTTTATTATGCCAATTTTTATAAACTTATTATTGTTAGCTTTCAATTTATTGTTAATAAAATCATAATATTGGGATGTACATATGTACATAATATATACTATGTTTTATTATTAATTGTTTTAAACTTTTTACCCAATAAAATAACAAACGTCACACAGCAAGTTACGTATGCAGTTTTATAAGAAAAATA